ATTCAATCCAATGCGGCCCGGCATCGTGGAATCATTGTGGGATGTGCGCCTAGCCTTAAATATAACTGTAAGATAATTTAGATAAGGCTAATCAAGTTCCTTGTGAGCGCATCCCAGAAGATATGAACAGCCTGCTTGAACAGCAAAAATTACGAAATCTTGTATTTTAATTATTTTATATTTCATTCCAATTATTTCGTTCGAATATTCCTCTGAAATATTCTGATATAGTCGTACGTTCTTCGAGTTTTCGCCTCTTTCGAGTCGTCTGCTTCCGGTCCGCGCTCGTAATCGATCGATTTCCTCGAGCGCTTGATCAGGGTTGAACGCCGTCGTAAATCGATGGTCGGGGACTCTGTCCCTTGCCTGTCGTCAGGGCGCAAGGCGTTCCGCCGTTAGGTAGTCACGAGTTCATCTCCTTGAATCGATCGAAGAAAGCCGCGATACGAGATCGTCAATGGCTCGAATTTTTTTAATTTTCCTCTTGGTTTTTGTATTTCTTTTTTGGATGTTCGTTTTTTCGATCGAAGGTATTTATTCTTCTTAAAGATTTCTCTTGTTTCGTTAAGATTAAGGGGTGTATCTTTGACACGGATTGTGTTAGTAGGGTAAATGAATCGTAGATTTAAAATTCAGTGTTAAGTATTTTTAGATTAAGATTTTTAGATTTAAGTAAAAGATGTAAAGATTTTTGTTACGCAATGTTTATATTTTAAATTTATTTTTATATATGTGATATTTATTTCTTATTTTATATTTTTTTAATTTTGATTAATCGTTAATTTTAATATTTTAGTTTTTGTTTTTTTGTTTTTAGGTGGGTCTCGACGCGTAGTCACCTCCTCGTGGTGAGACCTGGTAATTGGTATCGATTTTTGTCTAAATAACTTTTCAAAGATTAATCGTTTAAAAATCGATACCAAGCTAAGAACTACGCAGTACCTCTAGTCCAGTCTAATCCTTGAATCTCTAATCTCTAAAATAAATCCTTTCGAATATTTCAATCATCTAGACTGGATTACAGGTACACCATATTATACATATGATTGTATACAATTGTTCAATAAATAACAACAAATATAATATACTAATTTTTTTTTCTCTTTTTCCAATTATTTATTATTATTTCTATTACTTCTTTTTATCCAATCTTATTTTTCCTCGATCCAATCCAACGAATCTGTGAGAACGAGTTCGAAAAATAAATAAATAAATAAATAAATAATATCACGTTGAAGGGTGTGGAATATGTCGAAACGCGATCAACGAGAGAAAATGTTCGATTGCGTCCACGACGACGATATATTACCGCAGCGTAGCTAAGACGATAATTATATGCTGGAAGCGTTGCCATTATCTAACCATAACTACTCCCACCTAGATTCCGCACAATGCGTCCGGAGTGGGACCTTTAAACGGTTATCGTTGCTCAATGCAGCCACCCGAGACCAGCCATGCGAGCGCGAGTGTTGCAACCCTGGCGCAACGAGCTGAATTGTCGTTAATGCTGAATTACAAGACGAGAATTTATTCTTAACTGCATGCGTATGCGTATTCGAGATTTGAAATCACGTTCCTCGTTGATTTTTATCTGGACGGATGTAAAAATGTATTTTGAACGAACAATCTTCGAGATCATCTAGTTTTATTTTTCGATATTCGAAGAATAACGTGGATTTCTTCGATATTTGATTTTTCTTTCTTTGTTTTTTGTGAATAGAACGTATGTAGGTACGTTTCGTCTTTAGATGAAATTTTGTTTTCTCGTTAAGAGTTTTTTTTTTGTTAATAATTAAAATAATTGGTTTATAAATTTACAGAAATTTTTGAAATTTATATGCGCGTGGCGAACCGAGCGAGTTATTACGAGAATGGATATACGTGCTTCGAGAAGATATAATGTATCGTTTTATCTACAGATTCGGGATAAAAATCATTCCGTGATGTATTCTTTGCAGAATATAGAGATAATAGTTACGAATAATGATGGATGGATATTCGAATCTTAATAAAAAGAATCAAAGTTTTCAAGACTACGAAGATTCGAATTCACTTTGAATTCTAATTTTAGAATTCTTCGAAGCGATTGATAAGTCGTGCGAGATTTTCAAGAAATCGTATCTATATACCGTTCTATTTCAAGGAGAATAACAGACAACTTGTTGCAAGATTTTCTTAGAATTATCAAACGATTTCCAAGAAATATTCGAGACTTGAATCTACTCGTGATCGCTAGTATCGTGACAATTTTTACAAAATTCGATTTCGAGCATTCATCACTACCATTGAGCACTATCGATATTCGTTTCGAAGGAAATCAATGTAGATTAACCAACATTCATCTTCGAAGTAATACGAATTCTCACCACCGGTGACGAGATGTCGCTGCGTGGAAGAGGTTAGAAACGATTGGTAGCTCGTTCAATTTAATTAACGACTTCCATAATCGAATCAGGCGATAATTTACAAGTTTCTTCGTCGAACCGCGTGGAAATCAGCGGATAGAACGCGAAACGGAGATCACGCGTGAGCAAGAAAATAGCGGGAGGCGAGGGTAGAGGAGGAGGACTTGGAAAAAGGCTACTAGAACCAGTCACGTGCGACCATGCAACGTGCCGGCTGCACTTATGCTAGGTTCACGGCCTGCCTCTACTACCTTGCCACTAGTTGTGACATAATAGGATCTCGCCACTTCACCGGCTATTCTACGCTCGATTCAATCGTGGAGAAATCGTGGCAACTACTTCGAATCGACCAGTTTCGAATCTTTTTCAGTTTCGTATTGTTAGAAATTAGCAAGTGGTTTTTTTTGGTGAAATGAACGTTTTTTAGGTTAGGAGTTTAGATTTTCATTCAATTGTTTTTTATTTTTTTAGATTTTTATAGAAAGATTATCACGTACATTTATATAGCAATGCTTTAACTTTGATGTTTAATCGTTTGTGTGCGATATATGATAGTTCTAGTGTTAGTACTTTTTCAATTTCTGATAAAATTCTTTCGCGTTTGTTTATTAGAGAATAACATTTTATCTTTTCTTTTTTTCCTTTCTCCTATAGATATCTTGTGCCCGTCTGATTCGTTTAATTATTCATTACATAACGATTCTTTTCTATTCCATATCTATTATATCTAATTAATAATTATTTCTATCTATTCTATAATCTATTTAATAAATCAAATATGAAAAAAAAAAACAATATCTTAGAGTTTCTTAATATAATTATTCGATATATAGAATGTTTGTAAGAACGTGGATAAGAAATTATCTTCTTTATCTAAACCTTGAAACAACAACAATAATAATACTCACTACATGCAAAAATGGATTTAATTTTACTTTTTAATCTTTTTATATCAAATGAAGAATGAAAAAAATTCAATTCCGATTTAAAACAATCCCTATCTACCTAATCTACGCTTCATTCATTTCATTAATCCTAACCTATACTCTCTCAAATTCCACGCATTACCATCAAACTTCTCCTCTATCGTTTATTATTCAACACACGTCCAATCGTAATAGGCAATAAAATCTCTCAAACGTCAACAACAAACGTCGACCATTCCAAATCTTCGCAAATAATCTTACATCTAAATATCGTCGCGATCCACCAAGCGTTGGATCAAACGTTCCAATCTCGCATAATCGAATTCCATTTCATCGAACCCCTCGTCTCGTCCAACAATAACATCGAGCTCGACGATTAAGCGTCCAGGACTCGACAGTTCGATACTACGAGGCGAAGGAAAAGCGGAGAAAATCGTGGACTCGATCCCTCGTGGGAGGGAGCGCAAAGCGTCTTCGACCCTTAAATCCAATTAACGAGACACCCTCCGCGCCGAGGCCGATAAATAATCGTGGCCTGCTCCCTCCCCCTCCCTTGGGATTAAACGCAGTCAGAATCTGTTCTGCGGCACGAAAGGACGCGCGTTTCCGTGTATCCTGTTCCGTTTCAATTTCACGCGATGGATTCTCCTCGTCTCGGTTGGTTGTCTCGCGTCTCGAGGGGTTAATAGAACGCCAAAAAAAGGGGGGGATGTTGGATCGAGTTTAATGTTGGATTCGAAGGAAGTGGTTATCCGAAGGGTATTATTTTTATGTTTTGAAATGAAAGTTGTAAGAAAGTGTTTGCGCCTTGACGTTTGGAGGATCGTACAAATCTTTGATCGCGCTTTGAAAATTTTTTCTTCCTTTTTTTTTTTAACGAGTAATTTTCAAAACTTTTTTCAAATTTTCAAATTTTCGTGAGAATTTTTTGAGAATTTTAAAAATAGCAGGACGTAGCAGATTTTCGTCTTAGTAAGATTTCTTTTCCTTTTTCGAAATTTTTCTAATTTTCTTCCTTAAAAGTTTCGAATATCTAATTTTTGATATTCGAGAAAAAGGATCGAATTTTAATTCTTTAAACTTTCGTCACTCGTTCGATCCATTTATCGATTTAAACGTATCGAACGAACGTAACAAGAGATACATATATGTACTTAATATTATGAAATAGTTCAGGATACGGCCGATCGCGGGAAAAAAAGCGATATACGCACACGTGCGCGCAATTAGTCTATCATCAGACGCGCGCGCGCGCGCATATGACTCAAACCAGATGGAGGGTTGAGCAACAAACTTCTCTCTCTCTCTTTCGAGTAGTGGTCTCATTTATTCTTTTATTATATTACATGTTTCCATTACATATTCTTTTTTTATTCATTCTACGTGTTGTTTTAAACGTTTCTTTTGTTAAAAACATCACATTTTTTTTTTTTTTTACACTTTTGCTTCCCCAATTTTCTTAAAAATAGATAAAAATGAAATAATAGTAAAATCAAATGAAAACGACACATAAAATAAATAATAGTCGAGTTAAAAATATAAAAGAGAAATGGTCGAGGTATGTAAATTGGTAAAAAAAGAAACGAAAATGGTTATCATGAGATAAAAAGATAGAGATTATATATATCGACTGTATGGATCCTTTGTCGTTCGAATGGTTGAAACGCGTTCAAACTTTGCTTCTTTGACGTGGCCTGTCAGACGTGCCGCAACCGCAATATTCTCCATCGCTTGTGTACGAACTCGAAGAATCCGAGGAAGACGAGCATGACGAGGACGACGATCGTCCTGAAAACGAAATCAATCTTCTTTCTCTCAACTGTCTCGCGTGCGTATGCGACAATATCGATCGAGTCAATTAAATTAATCAGAAAAATTATTTCTCGATTAATTCTTTAATCAGAAATCAGAAACTTTTCTGGATAATTGATACGATTATTAAAAATTATACATAGGAAACAAATATTACGATAAATATTCCCAATCTGGAAAACGGAACATCTCGTCGAACATTTTACTTACTTTAATTCCTATAGCATATGATTTATATCGATCGAGTCGAATAAATTACCGATATCCAGAAAAATTACTATTTCTCGATTAATTCTTTAATCAGAGAAACAGAGACCAGAAACTTTTTCGGATAATTGATACGATTATTAAAAATTATACGTAGAAAACAAATATTATGATAAATATTCCCAATCTGGAAAGCGGAATATCTTGTTGAACATTTTACTACTTTAATTCCTACAGTATATCATTTATATCGATCGAGTCGATTAAATTAGCGGTATTCGGAAAAATTATTATTTCTCGATTAATTCTTTAATCAGAGACCAAAAACTTTTCCGAATAATTGATATTATTAAAAATTATACATGGAAAATAAATATTACGATAAAGCGGAACATCTTATCGAATATTTTACTACTTTAATTCCTACAGTATATCATTTATATCGATCGAGTCGATTAAATTAGCGGTATTCGGAAAAATTATTTCTCGATTAAGTCTTTGATCAGAGATTAGAAAATTTTCCGGATAATTGATATTATTAAAAATTATACGTGGAAAATAAATATTACGATAAAGCGGAACATTTTATCGAATATTTTACTACTTTAATTCCTACAGTATATCATTTATATCGATCGAGTCGATTAAATTAGCGGTATTCGGAAAAATTATTTCTCGATTGATCCTTTGATCAGAGAATAATACTTTAATTCCTACAATTGCCGTAATATAATCTAGGAAAAAATTTAATTGAAAAAACTCTCACTTTTGCTTCTTCCAGAAGTTTTCTTTTTGGAAGACTTGTACGACGATCTGTTGTCGCAGGACGATTTCGACGACTTGTTGGAGGATCGTCTCCCGTTGTTCCGTTTCCCCTTTCGGCTCGTTCTTCGTTTCGCCCTTCGGGGCGAGCTATCGAATTCGAAACAATCGCATTCCGAACAATCGCAATCCTCCGAAAACGTGGACTCCGAGGAAGAGGTGTAAGAAGTCGAACTGTCCGTGCTGTCGGAGTGGTACCTGCCGCTCCGCTTCTGGGAACCAAAACTTCTACACGATTTCTTCGAAGTTGATTTTCTGGAACTTGATTCAAATTATAATAATGAAAAAAAAAATATTTAGAAATTAAAATTTAGAATTAAAAAATATAAAAAATATAAAAAATATAGAAAATATTTAGAATTAAAAATATTTAGATATAAAAAAAATACTTAGAAATAATCCGAAAAATTGAAAATTTCTCGAGAATGATCGTACTCGAATTTCTTCGAGACAAGTAACTGCTTTCGATGTAAATAGAAATAGTTTAATAAATAAATAGTAAATAGAATAGAAATAGTCTATGAGTTTTTTTTGGTTAAAGGACGATACATTACGAATTTTATTACGCGAGAAATTTTAATCGAACGATCATAACGAATAATTTTATGACAGAGTATAAAATAGAATACAGTATAAAAAAATTTTATTATTTCTTTAACATTACTCACCTCATTTTATTTTCTTTCTTCAAACTGTTATTATTGAGTTGTTTGAGATAGAAAAGACAGACCACTTTCTTCGACTTTTTCTTCGTTTATTATCTCATTGTTTGAGTATATTTAAACATATTTAATTTAATAATATATATATAATATTTTCATTTAATACTCAATGTATTTGAAATGTAGATATATATATATATTATAATTAATAAATAAAGATCGAAATTTTTCACGAGATTCAAACAATGATGTCGTTACCTTCTTCCAACCCAACACTCGAATAATTTCCGTTGAGAGCAATTCGTATTTATATATATATACACAATTGTCACCTTTCTGTATTAGTTTTTATCTAATTTTACGTTTAAGCCTATCAACAATACGTTCAAATTTAAAAATAAATTTGGAAATGTATATATATCTTCATAATAGAATTAAATTATTAAATAAAAAAAAATAATTCGTTAAATTAAACAACGTTTATTATTACAATTATCATACATAAATCATTCTTCCAATCTCTTTTATTATTAATCGACAATTTTCCAATCCCTTTTCCCCAGTTTATCGATCTGAGTATATCAATGATGGGCAAAATTTAATAGTTGATGATTTACCTTGATGATTTTTCAAAACATACACACACATACACACACATATATATATAATAATAATCGAAAATATAACGGGAAGAGATTATATCGAATTATTCGAGCATTTCACATAATAAATAATTAGCTTTATTCGAAATTCTTAACTAACTTATTATTTTCTGGTCAAAATTAAACTGGAATGATTTTGTGAAGCTTTTTTTCATTACGACTTTCATCTTCCAAAAAAATCTTCTCGATTTTTAGGAAGAAAAATATTTCTTTCTCGATTGGGAAATGTCGAAAAAGGAGATTCCGTTTCACGTGGTTCCAATTCGTTCTTCGAAGGTGCAGGTATCGAGGATTACGAGTCTTTTTAGGGAAGGAGGGGGTGTGTTTCCTTGCCACCCCTCGTGGCTGACTCACGCCCTTTAATAATCCCTCGCAACCCCTCGTTTACGCGCTTCGAGGAGTCACCCCTTCCAATATTTCCTCCACCATCGTTTCTGCATTCTACTGAATGGGGATCATCGAACTTTCCGCCTTGTTTGTTCAACCATTTAACGAAGGATCAAGGATTTCTGTTTGTAAATTATGTTCATTTTGTATTTGTTATTAGTTCAATAAATTTAATAATCTCGAAAATAAATTTATATAATTTCATTCTTGTTAAAAAGTTAAAGTTAAAAAATTACAAGTGTAAATTTAGAAATTAAACGTTGAATTTATTAATAGATAATTTAGTAAGATTTTGATAATTTGATTTAACAAAATTTAATAATTCAAAGTTTAAAATGTATACATTTTAATTATTAAAAAGTAATAAAAAAAATTCAATATTAATTATATATTAATCAATGTTTATCAAAAACCCTTTTCTCAAAACGTTTGCGCCACGAATGAATTTTTCGAGTCCTTTGGGACTCCTCGTGGGGCAGTAGACGAAAGGGGGCGAAAGCTCGTGGCAACGTGGTCAACAGGCTATCACAGGTGACACAATGGAGTTAGCCCCGAGACGCGAGTTAAACAATGGGGGTGTATATATATCCGGGATCCATTGTCCCATCGATCCTCAATCTGTCACGTTGGGTGGGTGTGAAACGTCAAAACGCGGGAAGGGGACAAAGGGAGCACGCCCCTGGGGATGACAACCATCGACCTGTGAATGGAGGACGCGTGCCATTACAATGAAGTAGCCCACTCGTCCGTCCAACTCCACTCCTTCAACAACCTTCTCACCCACCGAGAAGCGATCCGAATTAATTCGAATTTCCCGCTTCGCGAAAAGAATGGACGAACGAACACGAATTTCAATTGGTGAATTTATTTCGCGTGAAAATGATGAAGAGGTTTCGAGGAAGAGTTTTTGCAACGTGTTTTATTATTCGCTATTATATATATATATATAAGTGGTTACATCGATAAGGTAGGTCTTTTTCGATTGATTATTTTTCTAATGTTACTTCGTCGGTAAAGAAGGATGTATAAAGTTCGAGAAGGAAAAATTTGATTTGAAAGATTTTAAAAAGCGGGGGAGAAGAAGGCAGGGCAAGATGGAGGATGGAGAGGAGAAGATATCGGGGGGAGGGAGTGGAGTGGGAAACGGTTAGTTTTGCAGATGTGAAAATAGGGCGAGATATGATGCACGCCAATTACAGATAGCGCAATAATAAATAACTGACCAGCTACAGATACCAATTGTCTAATAACCTCGGTTCAAGCTCGTATATCAATTAAACAATTTAATTATAATTTAATCTCTTATCGTTTAATTTCCTGCGTAAATGATAGATTAAATATATATATATATATATATTCAATTACTTTTCGCTGTGAAAGATTTAAATAATATTTGTACTTTTCTCCATGACAAATTGAAATGAAATTTTTTTTGTTGGAAAAGGGAATGAAGGAAATTCATTTACGTTCATTAGCATGCCAACAAATCGGAGATTCATTAGCATTCGCGGAAACGCGATTTCGCCAAAAGCGGCACGGTCGATTGAAAGACGCGGCCGGAATCCGATTAACGAGAATCCCTTTTTCACCCCCTCCCTGATTTTTCAGCTCGAATCAGCGGTGGATTCCTGGTGAACGGAGTCCTTTGAGCGTCGAGACGAGCATCAAAGGACTTTCTTATACGCTTACGCGGAACTCGGTAATAGGAAGATGACGTTTATGAGGCGGGTGGTACAACAAGAAAACGCAAGCTATCTTTATCTCAAGAGCGAGAGACGTATCCGGTCGTGCCGTGCTCTTTCTACCCTTCCATCCTTCTCATTTATGATGGAATAAAGGATATAACGAAAAAAAAATTTACACGTGAAGGGTATAATATAAAAGTATGTGTAGATTCTTTATATAAAATAGATACGTAAAATGTGTATGTGTGCGTGTCTATTTGGGATATATAAAAATTAGGTAAATTTTTTCAAGATTTTTAATCGATTAGATTTTCAGAAATACATTTATAGAGTAGATATATAAGATGAAAAGAACAACGAGTAAGGGAAGGACGGAGAGTAAAAATTGTAAAATCAGCTCCATCTATAGAATGCCGCAAAAGAAACTTGTATAGACAAGGAGAATGAATAAAACTGATCACTAATGCCATCTTTTGAATTCAAAAGATACTTCTTTAAAGATAAGGTAAGGTAGAATAAGAATTCAAAGCTGCTGCCATCTTTTGTATATTAGAAATAACTTCTTATAGTTAATTATAGAATCGTTTGGAGATGGCAGTAGTATTAAATTCTTTCCTACTTTACCTATTACAGTAATATCCTTCGTATTTAAGAGATGACACTAATGGTCAATTCTTATTCTATCTCTATCCTTTTTTTCAATTATTTTCTGTCTTTTGTTCATACGTTTCATTTACGGCACACTAAGAAAGCGCTGATTTCGATAATTTTATCCTATCTCTGTCCTTTTTCTACTATCGATATAAATTCTTGCCTAAAACTAGTTTCCACGATATTTAAGAGATAACGTTAACTTCAAATTTGTTTTATTCTTTTCCTTCTTTAAGCGACTGATCAAAAATCTTAATAAAATTTATTTCATTCAATTTTTATATATCGTAAATCTGGCATGCATCTCATATATATATCTTATATCGATTTTTGAATTCTGATACACGGATATTAAATAATATTTAAATTTTTATATAATTCTTATCTATTTAAAATACATTCTATCTATTAAAATACATGATATTATAAAATGCAAAATATTTTGTTTTAGAAATTCCAGTATCAACACGAAAAGATGTAGAAAGCAAGCATAAAGGTAAGTATAAGACTATTTAATTTATTAGATTTAAGTAAAATGTTGAAAAAATGATTAGATCCTGAAAATATATCTATAGACAAGATAGGAAAGGTAAGTATGGGAAAGGTAAGTATGGATAAAAAACAGGTAAGTACATTCAATAAAAAATTTCACGTGCTATCTTTTTTTAAACAATAATAATACAATACAAAACGAAAAAAAAATAAAAAATTCTTGCATGCAAAAGATTCAGAAAAAAAAAAAATTCGACTTTTGATTAGGAGAATATAATTCCAGAGGAGGTGGCACGCGAAATTTTTAGTAAAAATGTTAGTTTGTCAAATTCTGGCTAAAATTCCGACTTTTTATTAGGAGAATATAATTCTAGAAGAGGTGGCACGCAAAATTTTTAGTGAAATTGTTAGTATGGCAAATTCTGGCTAAAATTTCGACTTTTGATTAGGAGACTATAATTTTAGAAGAGGTGCCACGCGAAATTTTGAGTGAAAATGTTAGTTTGTCAAATTCTGGCTAAAATTTCGACTTTTTATCAGGAGAATATATTTCTAGAAGAGGTGGCACGCGAAATTTTTAGTAACAGTTTTACTTTGTCTAATTCAGGCTAAAATTTCGACTTTTTATTAGGAGAATATAATGCTAGAAGAGGTGGCACGCGATATTTTTACTGACATTGTTAGTTTGGCAAATTCTGGCTAAAATTTCGACTTTTTATTAGGATAATATAATGCTAGAGGAGGTGGCACGCGAAATTTTTTGTAAAAATGTTAGTATGGCAAATTCTGGCTAAAATTTCGAATTTTCATTAGGAGAATATAATTCTAGAAGAGGTGGCACGCGAAATTTTTAGTGAAATTGTTAGTATGGCAAATTCTGGCTAAAATTTCGACTTTTGATTAGGA